TACCCTTTCCAAACACGCCTCCTCAGCATCCAAAGATGCGGGCTGCAGCCGGTCCTCCATATCCAGCTGGACAAGATTGTCCAACTCAATGATGTCCTGCACGCAGCCAGGTGACAACATGTCAATTCATTCAAGCTTTGGGTATCCGAATCCGCTTGCGGGTGTTGGTTGCAAATCTGCATTCCCTTCAAATATCTTCAAATGATGCATGCAATGCTGCTAGTTCGGGCGATGAAGTTATCACCTAGTGGTCACCAACAGGTTGACGTTGAATTTTGGTTTGATTGAGCATTAACTTCAATGGGTTCCCCCCTACCAAACATTTCAATTTCAATGTGAGTCTTCAGTCTTATTCTTATCTTCCTTCCATCTCCTGCTGCCTTAGAGGTGGCCAGGCACCCATGACACAGTTGAAGCGGCTGCTTTTTTCAGATGCGTCAGTGCTGCGGGGCAGCGGCAGCATGTCTTCTTCTAATTTCATCTGTGCCACGATGCCTTGCCAAGCTGCCAATTTCAAATTTCAAAGTTCAAAGGCATGTGAAACTCTGCATGAGGATCTGAGTCTGAGCATTTTGCAAAATCACTGCCTGGGCTCTGGGGGCCGCTGCGGCTGCTGTTGCAAGAGCCCAGCGACGCCCAGCAGCAATGCACTGAGAGGTTGGATGACTCCACCTGGCGGCACAACAGGCTGCGGCATAGCTGATAGCGTGGCCGGCAAAGGGTCTGCTGGAGCTGGCGGCGTTGGAGGTGGTGCCGCCGCCGCCAAATTCTTCTTCTTTTCATCTGAACCTTCGCCACCATTGCCACCTTTGCTGCTACTGCCATGATGGCTTTTGCGATGTTGATGCCGAGATTGAGATCGCTCCCTTTCACCCTTTGATACCTTTGAGTGAGAAGATCGCTGCGATCGATTGTTTTCTGCAAGCCTCACAGGAGTCACAGGAGCTCTTGACCTTGCGGAAGCGCTGGATTTGTCCCTTGCAATCAATGGCGTCCTTGATGTCCGAATAGTAGTCTGAGTCCGACTCCTGGAGATCGGTGTCCTGCTTCTGTCCCTTTTGTCCCTTTTCTCCGGGGAAGCTGGCCGTGGATTTCCCCGACAATACCAGGCATGTTGCTCCATGCTCCACTCATTGTTGGCAATGTATTTGCCGCACCAGCGGCATGGAGCTCGGACAGCGCTCTCGCCTCTGTAAGATGCGCACCGCACCGAGGCCTTCAAATGCGCCCTTACAGCAGCGTCGCCGTTCCGCAACCACTTGCTGCAGACTTGGCATCTCACACCTTCAGCTTTGCCGCCAGTGCCACCAGCATCCTTCTGTTCCTCGGCCCCAGCGTCAGGTCGCGTTGGTTGTCCTCGAGGCTGAGGTGGTACTGGTGGTGGCGGCGGCAATGGCATTGCTTCTTTTGGATTTGCTTCTTTTGGATGCTCCTCCGCCTGTTCTTCTTTGCCAGCGTCGCCTTTGTCATCAGCAGCATCAATTTTGTCAGGCAAAGCTTCTTTTTCATCCTCAGATGGAGAACAGGAGTAGTAAGACCCTGACGGATCTGTAGGCTTGCCCGGTGTTTTGGCATTTGCTGACTTCTTTTGCTCAGCTGTCTCCTCCTCATGCTTCTGCGCCGCTCGTCTCTTCTCCTCCCGGCGCTCATTCTCAGACTCGCTCTCAAGCTCCACGTCGTGACGCGAATAGTCGCGACACGCCATCTTGATGTCCCGCATGGCTGGCTTGTGGATGAAGATGGGTCCAAAAGTCCAAAGAGTGTACAGTGGGTGTACAGTGTACAGTGTAAATGATTAGAAATTAGAAACATTGGCATTGGCATATGTTAACAAACTGAACTGAACAGCCTGAAATTTGTAGTCGCTAGGATTTAATGTGACAGCTGACATGGACCCTCACTCGAACCAGCAAATCGACGTCGAATTCACATCAATGCAAACGTTGCACATCAATGCACAGGCACAGACTTGTTTTAGTGACTATATTTAACTATATTTGTCACTTGAATGGGCACGAATCGAAATGGGCACGACAAAAGGTTCCGAATTCCCTGGAGCAAAGAAAGAAAAACGGTCCTTGTGCAACAGCGGCAAGTCCATGGTATCAATGAAGTTGAGCACCGTTACTTGATACTCCTGCTTCGCCTGCCACGTTGCGTCAGTCTGGACAAACACCCTCAAACCAGCACCTCCACCCACACGCAACCTTTCCATGACCCAACGTCTCATGAGAAGTGTCCAAGCTACATCCAACCTGCCCCTGATCCTGGACACAGTGGATGTACTAGGCACCCTCATTTTGTCACATCCATCACTGTCACCATCTATGAATGCGAGTGCCTCTTTTGCAACAGGCGCGGGCAGAGAAACTTCACACACATGTTTGAGCATATCCCTCAAGTCTTTGTCGTTCCGCAAGGATCCAGCCACCCAAAAGAACTTGAGTAGTTTGAGTGGTGCATACTTACGAACTTTCAAAAGAAAACCATTCTGCCGTCTGAAGCTCTCATCTGAAAACCGGTTAGCCTGCAAAGCCCGAGCAGCTGACAGCAGACCGGTCAACAACTCTTCCTTAGCTTCCTGTGTGGGCGGCCGGCCGCGTGTGAACAACATCCCATGCACTGTTTGGAGAAGACGGAGCATGTGTTCCTTGCCCTTACTAGATGCTACGTTGTAGAGCGATGGATCCACGTGGCCACCCTCACAAGAAGCAACAATTTCAAATGAAGGGAGAAAAGCAAAGGAATCCCGGAGTGTTTTCAAAGTCCCGGAAGCATCTGCCTCCAAAATATGCTTCACATGCCACCCTGCAACCAAACGCATATTTGTTAACGTTTCTGGAACTGCCAACTTGGTCCACATCTGGTTGGCAAGCAGAAAGGCAATTGATTTAGGCACCTTGAGTGACAAAAGTGGAACCTTTCCTTCTGCCAGACCTCGCCAAACTTGAAATGTAGCATCATCAACCCCAAGGACGCTTGCGGTAAAGCAACGCTGGGCCCAAACTTTGTCCATGCAAAAGAAGCACGAATGCCTACCGGATTTTGTTTCTGCATCCAGAAGTGAAACATGGTGCAAAATTGGCTGGGCTTTCAAAACCTGAAAATAAGAAAGTCCTTGGTCCAACAAACCACCGTCACCGATGTGGTTCCATAAGTCAAATTGGGCTTTCATCTCTCTGCAAAGAGGAAGGAGGGCATGGTGCTGAGCACAAGGCTGCAAATACACCAAGGCCACCATTTCATTCCCGGAAACAAACCTGTCGATGATAGCTCCTGCTTCCAACCCTTGCTCCTCCTCGTATGAGCGCAAACAGGACTGCACATACGGGTCACCATCAGCTTCAGCATTGATCCATGTGTGCTGAACACGGTGTCCACCAGCCACCCGTTTTCCATCACCGAAAGAAGCGAGCCAGACCACTTGAGGACAAGTGGCCCTGTCGGCCATGGCCCCCAGGAAACCGTCAGCAAACAATTATAAATAGATGTCGTTGTTTGATGTTGTTTCTTCCTGAACTCTCTAGCTCACCACCTGTGTGGCATTCTCGACACTAGTAGACCAATAGCCCAAGTTTGTTTATGTATTGCACTTTGAAAGCTGCCTGTTGACCAATGGAATTGGACCGATGTCCTGTTCCTTTGAAATGAAGATTGTCAATCTTATTTCATAGTAGTGAATTGGAAACTTCAGCGGGACTCAGCACTGAAACGGGCAAGTGAGCCGGGTTTTCTTCCTGGTTGTTTGTTGGCAACTATCGTTTGCAAACACCTTAAGTAGGCAAATGTTCTATTGGAATTCGAACCCGAAACGCTGCATGAGTATTTTTTTTGCATAGCCAGCATGGAACCCACCACTAGTACTGTAAAACACACTTCTGTTCACACCGCTCAGCGACATCTAGCCTACGTACAAAAGGACCTTGCAAACATCCAGCACAGTTTCGCGTGGGCAAGCCAAGGTGCAGAAAACACAGCAAACAATATTTTTTTTCTGTATTGCAATGATTCCAAAATGTTTATTAGAAAAACAACCTTTTGACACACCACACAGAACACCAAGAGAATTAGCGAAAGTTACTAATAACAACTAGTAGTAAAGAAGGCTACTAGGACCTTTTCGCGCCATCTCAAGGACTGTAACATCCACCTAAGCCAAACGTGTTGGTGGAATGGGAGAGAGATGTGACACTCATTTCCAGTTTTAGCAAAACTCCTTTTGGGTGCTTAAAACTCCTAGCCCTGGCAGTGTAGGCTAATTACGAATGTCACACTCTTGACACCGAATGAACGACCAGAACGAAGAATGCGTCTTTTCTCCTTTACTGCCATTCTATTTACAAAGTCCTTTAAAATAAATAAATCCCCAGAAGAATGCCTAATGAGCGACTGCCGCTTTCTTTCTTGGCGCACAACCATGTTGCCATCGCTTTTAGGTTGGAGGCCAGCGCTGTTCGGTTCGAGGCCACCGCCAGTAGGTACTTTCGTCCGACTTTTGCCCTTCTGACCCGTTTTGAGCCAAGCCCCTAGTAGCGTCCTTGCTCCTAGTAGTATGGCCAGGAGCCCTGGTAGCTTCTTGTTCCTAGTAGCGATGCCAGGAGCCCCTAGTAGCATCCTTGAGCCCAAAACCGCCGGCCTTCACGGTGGAAGTGTGCGCATCAACGGAAGGCTGCATCTGCATGACCGCCTCGAGCAAGAATTGCTTCTAGTGACCAGGTCTGCACCCAAACAGTATGACTTTTGTTCCTATTAAAGCAAGCATATCTTCTTGAAGGCTCTAAGGGAAGTAGCGGTATATCCTGAGTCTGTGGCCATTTGCAAGAGCTGCGGGCACCAAGAATCCAACGTGGAAACACTGGTGTATAAACTGGAGATCCTGGCCAGCACGGGTAAGCACGGAAGATCTACAATTGTAAGCATGTAATTAGTTGATTTGAGTTACAATTGAGGTTGGAAGCCATCGCTTCTAGGTTGAGTTACAATTGTCAGCATTCACATCCTCATTTTGAGTCGCAGCTTGGGACCCTCGTCTCAAACTGACTGTCTGCTTCTCTGGCAGTTCCGCCCCGCCTGCTGTCCACTGCTTCTGGAACCTCATTAGACAGCAGAAGGAGGAAGTGGGCTCTGCCCAATGCCTGGTGCGAATCGGGATACGCATGAAATACCACTGCAACTATTGTAAAACCTCTATGGGGAGAAGACACACCTTGATCCAGCAATGTTCAATTCACTTTTTGTACTGCCCTTCTCGCACGCTGCTTCTCGGCCTCAGCCCAAAAGACCTCCAAAGTAGCTGGGCTCTCTCCATCCTCGTCCTGCAGAGAATCACAACGGTTTGGCGTTTATCAAAGACCGAATTGAACACATGTGACAAAAAACAACATTGAAACAACATCTTTTCAATTGCTTTTAAACAACACATTGATCTGTTGCTTTCCTCCCATACCGATCACTAGTCCACCAGTGACCAGCCTCCAGTGCCAGGTGGGCTAACAGCCAACCTTCAATCGGCATGGCGGCTACAGCGTCCTTGCACTCTTTCACCTCTCAAGGACACGCCGAGTTCAGAAAGAAAACACGAGTTTCTTTCCATCGTCGGCGCTTGGACATTGCTTTTAGGAGCAAGGACACTACTAGGAGCAAAGGGCATTGCTAGTTGGCTGGGTGAAGGGTCTGAAGTGCTACGCTCCGCTGAAGTGGAAAGAAAACACGCGTTTGCTCATGTGGAACGAGTTCGCTGAAAGTCGTGCTACGCTCCGTGCTTCCTCCCATGGTCGGTTGGTGGAGGCCATCACTACTAGGGTAGAGGCCATTGCTTTTAGGAACAAGAAGCTACTAGGGGCTCCTGGCATCGCAACTAGGAGCGATCGGACGCTACTAGGGTGGAGGCCCCACCCCCCATGCATCTCTCCCCCCCGCGCACGCGCGCGCGTGCGCGAAAAGGTCCTAGTAGATTTCTTATTTCTTAATTATTGTTTCTATTAGTGAGGCCCTTTGCTCCTAGTAGCGAGGCACTTGTTCCTAGTAGCTACTAGGGGCTCCTGGCCATCGCTTCTAGGTTGGCTGGGTGAAGGGTCTGAAGCGCTCGGTGCAAAATGATGCTTTGCCCACCTCCCGCTCGGAGTACCAGCTTGAAGGCGGCCCCTCCTCAGCAACACATGGCCCCGTTGTGCGCATAGTCCATGCTGAAAGAAATTGGCTGAAGCAAATCCTGCTTCAGTATCAGGCCGAAACAAGTCTAAGCTTCAGTATCTTTTGCTAAACCTCCACTTCTTGCTTCATATGATTCTCTTGTCATTGTCTGGTTCGTATGCTTGGCATCCATGTCTGCGAATATGTGGAAGTTGTGTCTGGACATCCCGAAAAGGGCCGAAGTTGCTTGGCCTCTCTGATCTTCTTTGACTTTATAGAAGAAAAGAAGAGTCTTTACAACGAGGACGGAATCTGAAGATGGCCACAAAGCCCTTCCATCTCATATCGAATCCTTTTTGCCGAACCTCCGAGAAGGCTTCATGGAGGACCGCAAGGTTTTCCTCGGCCACAGACGGGCGACAAAGTTTCTCCCGTGCCTTTGCCACTTCACCACCCTACGTCAGCCACAGGAAGAAAGCTGTGTTTCTTGCACAAAGAAACTATATCAGTCTCGCTGTGGCACACATATAATACACAAACACATTTTTGAGTAATCAAGGTGGTTGGAGTGCACCAAACGAGTTTGGCCGTAGAACATATCTGTCTGCCAGTGCTTCTTTCAACATTTCCTGTGCAACGACATAAGTATAAGTGAGTAGTTAGAGGCCATCGCTATTAGGTTGGAGAAAGAATACGAGAACAACGCACTCTTGATTATTGCTGCAAGACAGGATCTCCAGTGGCACCTAGTTGGAGGCCATTGCTTCTATGTTGGAGAAAGAATGAGAAAGAATACGAGACGAACAAAGCAAACATACTCGTCAAGAACAAAGTGCAATTCCAAATCATTAGTGCGAGTGCTTCTTCAAGGAAGCTACCCCCTGCCCCTACCTATCCTGTACCTAATAGTAGCTTGCTAGTCCCTTACCTAATTAAGTAGGCACCTACAAGAAGCTACTAGGGGCTCCTGGCCTTACTAGTAGTGACAAGAACGCTATTAGTAACAAGTGCCACGCTACTAGTAACAAGTGCCTTACTAGTAGTAACAAGGTTCGCTACTAGGAACAAGTAGGCGCCAGGGGGGGGAGCGGGCTAGCCCGGCCTGCTGGTTCAGCACCTCCGGTGGTAAACAAAGCACCACCCCGGCCGAAAGCTCCGTCACCGCTGCCAAGAGCCTCTCCTGGCAGGAGAAAGGGAGTGGAGGAGCCGGAGGTGTTTACAAGAGAAACAAATCAAATTGAAGGAAGCTAAATTGAAGAACTGGACACTTGTTTGTTAAGAAGTTCTGGTGGACATGATTCCAACAAAATACATAACATGTTGTGGCCAAACAGATTCGCTAACTTTGCAGCAGCAAGCCGTCAGCTCTTCAATACAACAAGCTTAAGTTGGAGCCCGACAGCAAGTCACTTCACGAACCAAGGGTCTTTACCAGTTTGTGACTACAGGTCTTAGGAGTCTTAGGTCTGCGCCGTAAACCAGGTCCGTACGAGTAGGTGTAAGGTAAGGGTCTTCGATCTGCTTCTTTAGTCCTTATTTCTTTCTTTTGGATCGTTCCGTAGTCCTTTCTTTACTAAATATCTTTTCTGTTCTTTAGAGACCTTCCGTTCTTGCTTATGCTGTTTGATGGCTTAAAACAACAAATACAGTCTTTCTTCGGTCCTTCAGACCCACTTTCTTCTAGCACGCAAGTAGCTAGTAACAAGGTTCGCTATGAGGGGCTCCTGGCCTCACTAGTAGTAACAAGTGCCACGCTAGTAGTAACAGGTGCCACGCTACTAGTAACAAGAAGCAACAATTGCCTTCTTCTGTGGCCTGCCGGGCCTGGCCTTGATCCAGTCGCGGAAAGCATCCCCGCTGGGCACCGCCTCACCATCTGACAAGTGCCTCGGCTTCGAGCGTGCCGTACTGCTCAATCAGTGAGAGCTTACTGCTTGCGACCGTGTAGCAAAGAAAGCATTTCGGTAATACAGAAGCCAAACACATTTCGGTCGCAAGAAAGCTACTGGAGCAGCGAGTATGGGGTGGTGCCTTCTGTTCTCTAAGGCGAGCAAGCTGTAGTGCTACGTTTTCTTCCCATTCGACCTTCCACTGTGGACCACTCCTTTGGCTAAAACCAAAGCTCCATTGCTTTGCCACACATTAACCGCCATCACCCTCTGAGCTTCAGGCATAGGAGTTTGTATGGCACCTGCCCAAGGCACAAATGCAAGAACTCTTTGAACCCAAAGGGACACCGGTGGGGACACATCTATTGGTCCAACTATCCTCACTTCACATCCAGTCCCAGCCTGAGTCCGTGCCCTCAGAGGGTGGTCGCCCTGTTGGCATTTCGAAGCTCAGGCCAAAGAGGTGGGCGGTTCCTGGTCGCTAGTAGTAACAAGTGCATCGCTTCTAGTAACAAAAAGCCATTAGAAAC